AGTGCTTTAAAACTCGTTGACAAAGCCTGGCAAGAAGTGACTCAAAGAACCCTGATCTCTGGCTGGAAAAAATTGTGGCCTGAATGTGTGCCAGAACTAAACTTTAAAGGGTTTGAGCCTATAAATTAAGTGCCTATTGTTGAGGAAATTTCTGGGCCAGAAAATGGGCCTGGAATTGGATAGTGATGATGTGGCGGAGTTGGTGGAAGAACACAATGAAGAACTAACCACCGAAGAACTCCAAGCCCTTCAAAAGGAATAGCAAGAAGACACAGCTATCTTCTCTATCTTGAGGTTATCTTGAGATGATTTTGGGGCTTTTTTAGTGTCCCCGCGGCCCAGTCCTCGACCAGGCCTCCACCCCCAGGAAGCAGCCCGTGGCAGCTGACTAGCACCCAGGTACCTATTTTACTGCTAGGTAACAGGGGCATATGGTGAAAGAAACTCTGCCCATTGTTTCTCACCGGCGCCTGGGATCGAACCCAGGACCACAGGATCACAAGTCCCGCGTGCTGTCCGCTCGGCCGACCGGCTCCCCTACTGAGCCGAAACATCCTCAGCTGAGGATGTTTCTCCAGTGGAAGAGGATGAGGCAACAGAGAATGTCCCTTCTGCAGACATTAAGAAGTGGTGTCAGATGTGGGAAGAAATGCAAACTTTTATCGAAACAACACACTGTTACGAACCAAAATTCCTCGCCCGAGCACAAAGCTGTGAAGTCCACACCATCTGTGAGTCCACTCCCGAAAATCTCACAACATGGACAACGCCATCTAGTGATGACAGGAGATGCCAGCAATAAGTGCTGGATGCCTGTCCTAGTCGGCTCGTGACGTAGCCGCTGCTGATCTCTGGTGAGGTGGCGCTTAGACAGTGAACGCCATCTATGGAGCGAAGAGGTGGACGTTTGTGTCTAAGCTAGTAAGTGATGTTTCCTAGTGGTCCCATGTAATGTCCCAGTACTGATGACGTGTCTGCTTTCACATTGTCACCCTAGGACGGCTGTGAGGTACGTTGAATCAGTCTACCCAAGGCAGCCAAGGTCTCTTCACCAGTCTGCTTTGTGGAAGCTGTGAGCCACCCCCGGACGAACTCTGCCGAGTGTGTGATTGCCTGCCTGAGGAGTGGCAGTGACGGGATTCGCAGTATCCGGGGCTGGCTGGTGGAAGAGACCACCCACTGCGGTGCCGACCGAGGAGAGTGACCAGTGAGTCATACGAGACTCCGGCCTAGGGCTCGCAACCCTAGTATTAGTCGTGGAGTGGCCTAACAGCGAGGCTGACTAGTACCTGCCAGCTACAGGCTGGACTGTGGTTGTAGGCCATCATGACGAGGCACCCAGTGGGATTGTAATTTGGCTGGCCTGTGGCCAGGGTAGATTCTTCGTGGGTTCTGGGCCACGGAAGAGGAAACCAGGAAAGGCTACCCAGAATGAGCATCGCCAAGTGATCAGTGTCTTCAGAGGAAGACGAAGATGTATATACTGTGTAGTAATAATTCCCTTTTGTGACTTTAATTTACATATGGTGGTGGGAAAGAAATATATATATATAAATTAGTATACTTGTGTATTTAGTGTACCTCCCCCGTTGATTTTACTTGCGTTACAGAGCTCACCCCTTGAAAGCCTCTACTAACTTGGGGCCGGATACCCAAAAAACTAATACCATCAGAAAAGAACCCGATTGCATCCCAGTAGGGCTGTAACACACACCCAGAGAAAGCTGTAGTAGGCTGTTGCCTTAATCTTTTCATTGACAATGTGATGACTCACTACAGAGAAATCTTGTGAAGGAAAAAATAATCTTCAATAGACCGCTTTATGAGAAAATCGAGCAGTGAGCCACAATCAGGACCTTAGTGGTATGTAGGCAAAATGTGCCAGAGAATGCACTCCAGAGAGGTCCTCACTGCCTGATGTTATAATGGAAGGAGACTCCCCTCCCAAACAGTAACACATCTCCTCCTCACCATCTTCCATTCGCCAACAGCAGTCATCAGCAAGGGTAAGTAATAACTTGAACATACTTTTGTTGTGTAGATTTCGATGAATTGGGTATAAAATTTAGTTTGAAGTGAGGTTTTTGGGTAGTCAGGAACGGATTAATTCATTTCCCATTATTTCTCATGGAAAAATTATCTTCAGTTTACGAGTTTTCGGGTTACGAGCCGTCTCCAGGAACGGATTAAACTCTTAAACCGAGGTACCCCTGTACGTATTTACTGTACACCATTCACAACTCCATGAGAAATCAAGATGGACATACAGTAACTCCAACTATAAGGTAAATAACAACTAACACAGCATTTTTTAGTATAGTAGTAATATATAGGTAATGTACATATGATAATGCATTTTTGTTGTGTACAAGAAAAAAAGAGACTGATGCAAATGCCTCTTGAAGGTCACCTCCTGCAATGAATCCAACGCTCCAACACACCGGGGTTGGTCCCATATAGTATGTTGAATCGAGGTTGTACTGTATAGTTTATATTTTGGACAAGAGAATTGCTAAACAGGATGTGAAACTTGTATTTCTGGATGTGATGATGTGTTGCTGCATCAGGCCACCATGGCTGTGCTCCTGGTGGTGGTGCACCATCACAGTCCTCTGGTATTGTTGTCATTCACTCATTACAAATGGCTGACAGCCAGATGAAAGTTTATACCTTTCAAATTTCTAGCAGCATTTTTCATTTAGGTAACGAATAAATATTTCTTAACCACTGTGCTCCTCGCCTTCCAAATACGGCACCAACCCGCTGTACGCAGGAAATAAATTCTCGGGAATCTTGTATTTTTTTCCCTTCCCTGAATACGGAAATGTGAACAAAAACTCAAAATTGTATGCACTTACTTTGGCCGCAATGGGGGTCCGTAACTTTGTGTGTGACGTCATCAATCCCTGGTCGCCCGTGGTGTACGCCCCCGGGGCCAGTAGCGAGCGCCCGGTTCAAGATACGCGAGTTTCCACGAATATATTTTTGTTCATTTTTTGCACAGTTCCAAATACATTTGTCTTGTTTTTTTCTTGCCAATCCTATGTATAATGAACACGTACACCATATTATGGCAGTAGAACATCCATACTGTCCGAAGACAGTGTTACGTGCATCACATGTGTTCACATATCTTGCACACATTTCCAATGTATCATGCTAATTTATGTATATATACAATATATTTACACATTGTACAGTATCACACACTATATACACACACCATAAACGCACTCAGAACTCAGCGAGTGTGTGATATGCTGCAAAACAGCCAACGGGGCATAGTGGAACCTTGCACTCAACGCACCAGGTGCTGATGTACCTTTGCTTTTGTTCTCTTCAGGTAGTGTTCTTGCATACTATACAGGCACGTTTACCCTTTTCCCGTGATATTGTGCCTGGCATATACTCGAGCATGTGGGCACCGAACATCTCGTTACCCCACAGTCTGTCTGGAGCTGCGTGTGGTATTGTTGCTTGCACCCCGCACAGTGCAACAGAGCCCTCCTTGCCATACTTTACGAGCAGTTGTGACAACAGCAACACTGAATGTCTGTATTGGCGGTCTCCTGCCTGATTTTACCAGGTAGATATTGAAGCAGTTGAGCACTGCAACATCTATTAGGTGGAAAGATAACTTTTTCCTCCACTTCACAGACTTCCGCACGCACTCGGCGGCACCGAGCATCATGTCACATTTATCTACGAGGCGCATGTTCACGTTGTAGTCTATGACACAATCTGGTTTATATATTGGGAAGCACGTTTGAAAGGGACTTTGCCACTGTCCAACATGGCACCGGTGTGAATGGTAGTTAGCATATTCACCTCGCGTCTGTCCCTCCATCGCACTGAGAGCATATTATCACACTTGCACAGCTGGCAATCACCCACTGCCATACCTATGCCAAACACTGGCATTTCCTTCCTGTGGGCCTTCACAGCGCCACATACGCCAGTGTTGTGGGGAAGGAGGTATCTGGTCATCAAGGGGGTGGTATAGTAGTTGTCGGTGAACAGTCTTGTCTTTGTTCAGCAACGGTTCCATCATACAACTGGCCAGTGAACACAGAAGGCAAGCAACACTTGATTCTTATATGATATGAAAATCAAACCAAGTGCCTTCGACAAGTGAGGCGTCACACGCAACCCAAGCACCTTCAACAAGTGAGATGTCACAGGCAAGCCAAATGCCTTCAACTAGTGAGGCTTCCGCAGCTGGCAGTGAAAACGAACTTTGCCTAATGAACTGTACAGTAATTTTGTGTGTGAATTTTAGTGTTGTGTTACTATAAGGTACGTAAATTGGCAAGAATTTTTAACTTCAAGATGTGTGGCATTAATCAAGAAGATGAACAACAACAAGGTAAGTTGAGGTTTCTAGTTGAATATTTAATAATTATATGTGGCAAGGCAATTCAAATTACGTTGTTTGTAGTATAAAATAGTTGGAAATAGTTAGTTTTGGACTCGTAGGTGAAAAAGTACCATTATCCGGAAGACGTGATAATCCGGCAGGGAGGCCTTCCCATATAGTCCGGATGATCGAGTTGAGACAGTAAAGAATGAATTTTGGAGATTTAATTTATCAATTACCCTCGACAGTTAAGAAGAACGTAGGAAATATTGAGAAGATTTGTGTTAGAATTATTAATCTTACCCTATCGGTCATATTCAACAACATATGTTTACAAGAAAGATTATACACAAGATATACATATGTACATTATTATACCCAGAATAATATATTATACATATTATATTTTATATAATATATATTGTATACTTGTACAGTATAGTATGTATTATATATAATATAGGAGGACCACACGTCCCTCAGGCAACTTTACACATTTCCTGTCCTCAGTTGATCTCATGGGGGTAATCAAAGCATTCATTCCCAGAATATCAGTCTCAATATGTCATATGACCTATTACAGGGATGAGGATACAGGAACTTAGTTCTCATACTGTAATTATATAATGTTTCTAGAGCATACCTTAGGATATTTATCTTTAATCTTATCACGGAATGCAGCATCCCGGGCTGTTTGTTCTTCTGCATTACCAGAAATTGAACTGTAAGCCACAATGTCACCCCACTCATCTTCAACCACCATAACAGCTACATCCTTTACCAATTCATCTTCAAGAGCTTGCAAGTAACTTCCAACTGCCCTGTAACAAAAATTTTTACTGTAGCTTTTTATTTTTAAGATTGTTAGATTATTTATTCATTGAATAAATATTTATCCAGGGAATAATATTGCAATATTAACAGTTAAGTTGAACAAAATTACAACAAAGTAAACACTGGAACAGTCACCAAGTGGACATGTACACAGAAAAACACATTCTTGACTTACAAGTCCCCTGGTAAGTCTGGATGGGCAGCATACAAAGCTGTACCATCCCTCCGATCGTCAGATGTCCGCAGAATCAGGCTATAAACTTTAGGTTTGTCTTCAGGAAGATATGGCCGGATGCAATAGCAGTGTTTGGTTGGGACTTCTGGCGCTTTGTATACAAAGAGGTCGTTGCTTGCATCTACAGGTATGAGCCGCTGTGGGCAGAGTTATGAGATTAAGTTCGGTGTCATCATTGACTACGGCGAGGGACAAGTTGGAGATATTCCAGTTAGGATTTGTGTTCGAATTTATAAGACAATAACTGTCTGTGACTTTTTACAATGCCTTCTTCAATAAAAAGAAGCAACTATAAACCTTTATCCACATTTTCTCTTGAACAACAAATACTGGTTTATGTCAACTTATCCCTGGGTAAGGCGAGAAAGTGTGCCCGAGTACCACATTTCATCTACACCGTATCAAAATAGTTACTCATTTCAATCAAGATTAGGCTACACGATGCCTAGATATAAATGGAAAAAATGCTAAAGCGCAGATAATGGTAAAACGCTGAAGCGCGGCTGATGGCGACCTCATCACGTAAATTCTTCTTCTGTTTCCTCTCGTACCTGCAAAAGCTAGCTACTTTTAAAGACTTGATCCATTGTAGAAAAGTGGTACTCAGGTCGCAAGGCAGCTCAGCGCACATGAGGTAAGGCAAGGTGAAATCCCTGACTGCTTCCTTCTCTTTAAGACACCAAGTGACAAAAAGCATTAAGAAATAACAGTAAATTTATAATACTATGGCATCAGGAGAGAGGTTTTCTGCATCATCATCAGGATTTCCAGACAAGCCTTCCTCAAGTTATATTTATACATACTTGCAATTCGGCGGTCAGTCCTCCCCTGAAGATCCATGGCTCCTGGTCGCCAGACATAAATACCTCGCGCCAGCCCTTACTGAACCCTGCAGTGACGATGCAAATGGTAACCACTCACTACACGCAACTCAGCGCTTTGGATTAAATCACGCTTATACAGTATATCATTCAGAGCAGCCAGCAATGTCCTGCTCTTGCTTATTTAAGAACCTTAGTACTTATAAGCAATGCTAGAATCAAAACAATTACACCTGGTGAGAGAGGCTCATCCAACTGTAAGATTAATAAAAATATTTCAAGAGCAGCTCCAGACACATTCAAGGGGGCCTAACATCAGCCACATAACTAAGCAGCTGCAAGGGGAAGGGGCTGTGTCTGAAAGTACAAAAGTCGCATATGCGCCCTGTCTAACTCAGCCTAGCGCAAATGCAGGATGCGCACATGTTAATGAGAATACTGAGCATGTCTCTTCTTCCCTGTCTCCTAAAATTCAATAATGGTTAAAACATTTTTGTAGCAATTGCAGTTCCTGATTACTGTGCATACATATACTGCTGCACCCTCAAAAAAACTGACTTGCCATAAAGAAACTTCCAGGGAGTGGGGGTAAAACAAGTCAGTCCATGAGGTTAGGGATTTACACTATGAATAGAAAAGGAGGCAGAGGACAAGAGAAATGCTCTACCATCTGGAAGAAAAGCCATTTTAATATTCTTATTACGATTCCCCTCAGATGTTCCTGGACATGAAGCCCAATCATGACTAGTGAACTATGGAGGAATGAATAAAAGGGACTTGGACACAGTTGTGTGCCTAGATATTTGCACTTCAAGTCAAAGAATATCTGAGACAGGATGCATAGGTTAAGTTTACCATACCTGTTTGCAGTTCTCCTCAATGTAACGCAATACCCAAGCGCGGGCTTGCTAGCGCACGCACTGCTCGCCCTACAGCGCAACGCAAGCGCATGTGGCTGACACTAGCTAGGAATGACTAAATTCTCATTTTATTTGAGTGTTTGTATATATATATATATACTACCCATATGCCGAGTTACGTACAGGTATAGTTGCCATGAACGTAGTTGCCCACAAGAGGTGAAACCTGGCCCAAAGCTGTAAGGGAGAAAGAAAGAAGAGTTGCTGATTAATAGAGCTGGTTCCTGAGAAAGTGTAGATATCTTGGCTACTCACGGCTTCTAATATCTTTTTCGCTTTTCACCACAACCAGCAGCTCTCAAATCATTAGCCATTGTGAATGCTTAGTTATAATTAATTTTGTACAAATCAGCTACTCCCCTATCCTTATTCAAAAGGATATTTTAGTAATAATATACAGTACTATTACAATGGCAAAGTCAGAGAATGGCCTCTGGTCTTTCATTCTACTCACTCTTTTATATACTGTATATATAAAAAAAAACATGAACAGTAAATTAATGAGTAGAATAAAAGGAGCACTCACAAAGAAAAAGAAACTTGTGAGTGAGTCTATGGCAGCAGAAATTGTACACACAACAACACACCAATAAAATTAAGGCTCCTAAGTCCACTTCCCTTCACCAGTTATAAAGCTAGTAGCAATGTTGTGCCAGGGCAATACTTAACATGAAATAAGATACCAAAAAAGTAAATATGAAAAGCACACTCCTCAGTGGTTCAAAGGAATCTGGAGAGATCCCATTTCAGTGCAATCAAATTTTGATTCAGAAGGGTAAGTACTACCGAATGCAACTATAAACCTTATATTCAAATGCATAGAAATATCATAGCTTCACACTTTAACTAACACTAAGTTCTTACATTCTTCAGTCATCAAATTAATTAAATTTGATGACCGAGGGCTAATTAGCACTTTCGCTCGGGGATGACGCAGCATTGCGTCATCCGTTTACTGGCGGTAATGCCGGGGATGACGCAGCATTGCGTCATCCACTTTAAAAATTCGCCAAAAATCAGGTTTGTATCCGATTTTTTGGGGACTGGTTTTAAAATGTGCGCCGATGTCTTCCCATTTCCTTTGTTGAGCCTCGTGGCCCTCAGGCGGCTTGGCACACGCCGTGGGCCCATTGTCTTTGCTCCACTGTTGTGACCAATGTCGTCTCCCCTCGCATCTCAAACGTGTGAACATTTCGGCTATTTTCCGTGGCTATATTTCTTACTGCGGCTTTAGAAACTATCTACGCTTACTCCACGATGGATAGTAATCATGAACAAGGCCCTTCCAGGAAGAAAATTACAGTGCTTCCTCAGACTAACGAACCCCGCTCTATCGAATTCCCGGAAGAGCCGAACAAATTGAATTCGGTACCAAATGTTCAGTGGAACATACAAATGTTCGATTAAGTGAGGAATATTCGTCCAAGCGGTCACCGAGGCCGAGCGTCAGAGCTGGCTGTCATCAACTATGATTCGCCAGAGTGTAAACAGTTATGTAGTGTTTTATTATCCCTACCCATTGTTTCTAGGGAGAAATGGTGATAAAAATGGTGATAAAATGGTGTCAGGGGGCATTAGTGAGAGAGTTGTTGTCAGGAGGCAACACGTGCTCCCCCGTCCCCACCCCTCCTTCCTCCACCTGACCACAGAGACCACTCACTCTCCTCTCGTCGTCAGATGCCAAGAGTCAATTTAATGATCGCATTATCTACACTGAAAATAGCCTTTTTATTAGAAAAATGTCATATTGGAGCAATAATAATGGTGAAAATTGTAATATATACAGTACATATTTTAAACAGTTTGAACACATTTCCTTTTCACAGAATTTTTAATACAATTGGAGTGTAGATAACAGCTGGCATTGTGTGGCCGGCCGGTCGCTCCCTGAGCCATTGGGGGGGTGGGGGGGGGAGGGGGGGGGGGTTGTTTCCTGGATCCCTCCCTCCCTCCCTCTAACAGCCTACGTACTGTACTAATACCTATTTAGAATAAATTTTGAGGAGGCCAATAAAACAAGCACAGGTCGTGTGAACGTTAGGCCTTGGTGAGGTGGCTGGCATCATTTGTGGTGTTGTCAGGGGAGGCAGGCTGTGTCAGGGGAGGCAGGTGGTGTCAGGGGAGGCAAGCGGTGTCAGGGGAGGCAGGCAGTGTCAGGGGAGGCAGGTGGTGTCAGGGGAGGCAAGCGGTGTCAGGGGAGGCAGGCAGTGTCAGGGGAGGCAGGCAGTGTCAGGGGAGGCAGGCGGTGTCAGGGGAGGCAGGTGGTGTCAGGGGAGGCAGGTGGTGTCAGGGGAGGCAGGCGGTGTCAGGGGAGGCAGGCAGTGTCAGGGGAGGCAGGTGGTGTCAGGGGAGGCAGGCGGTGTCAGGGGAGGCAGGTGGTGTCAGGGGAGGCAGGCGGTGGGGGAGGCAGGTGTCAGGGGAGGCAGGCGGTGTCAGGGGAGGCAGGTGGTGTCAGGGGAGGCAGGCGGTGTCAGGGGAGGCAGGTGGTGTCAGGGGAGGCAGGCGGTGTCAGGGGAGGCAGGCGGTGTCAGGGGAGGCAGGTGGTGTCAGGGGAGGCAGGCGGTGTCAGGGGAGGCAGGCAGTGTCAGGGGAGGCAGGCAGTGTCAGGGGAGGCAGGCGGTGTCAGGGGAGGCAGGCGGTGTCAGGGGAGGCAGGGGGTGTCAGGGGAGGCAGGCGGTGTCAGGGGAGGCAGGCGGTGTCAGGGGAGGCAGGTGGTGTCAGGGGAGGCAGGTGGTGTCAGGGGAGGCAGGCGGTGTCAGGGGAGGCAGGCGGTGTCAGGGGAGGCAGGTGGTGTCAGGGGAGGCAGGTGGTGTCAGGGGAGGCAGGCGGTGTCAGGGGAGGCAGGTGGTGTCAGGGGAGGCAGGCGGTGTCAGGGGAGGCAGGTGGTGTCAGGGGAGGCAGGTGGTGTCAGGGGAGGCAGGCGGTGTCAGGGGAGGCAGGCGGTGTCAGGGGAGGCAGGCGGTGTCAGGGGAGGCAGGCGGTGTCAGGGGAGGCAGGCGGTGTCAGGGGAGGCAGGCGGTGTCAGGGGAGGCAGGCGGTGTCAGGGGAGGCAGGTGGTGTCAGGGGAGGCAGGCAGTGTCAGGGGAGGCAGGCGGTGTCAGGGGAGGCAGGCGGTGTCAGGGGAGGCAGGCGGTGTCAGGGGAGGCAGGCGGTGTCAGGGGAGGCAAGCGGTGTCAGGGGAGGCAGGCAGTGTCAGGGGAGGCAGGTGGTGTCAGGGGAGGCAGGCGGTGTCAGGGGAGGCAGGTGGTGTCAGGGGAGGCAGGCGGTGTCAGGGGAGGCAGGTGGTGTCAGGGGAGGCAAGCGGTGTCAGGGGAGGCAGGCAGTGTCAGGGGAGGCAGGCGGTGTCAGGGGAGGCAGGTGGTGTCAGGGGAGGCAGGTGGTGTCAGGGGAGGCAGGCGGTGTCAGGGGAGGCAGGTGGTGTCAGGGGAGGCAGGTGGTGTCAGGGGAGGCAGGCAGTGTCAGGGGAGGCAGGCGGTGTCAGGGGAGGCAGGTGGTGTCAGGGGAGGCAGGTGGTGTCAGGGGAGGCAGGCAGTGTCAGGGGAGGCAGGCGGTGTCAGGGGAGGCAGGCAGTGTCAGGGGAGGCAGGCGGTGTCAGGGGAGGCAGGCGGTGTCAGGGGAGGCAGGTGGTGTCAGGGGAGGCAGGTGGTGTCAGAGGAGGCAGGTGGGGTCAGGGGAGGCAGGTGGGGTCAGGGGAGGCAGGTGGTGTCAGGGGAGGCAGGTGGCGTCAGGGGAGGCAGGTGGGGTCAAGGGAGGCAGGTGGGGTCAGGGGAGGCAGGCGGTGTCAGGGGAGGCAGGTGGTGGAAAGAGGCAGGTGGTGTCAGGGGAGGCAGGTGGGGTCAGGGGAGGCAGGCGGTGTCAGGGGAGGCAGGTGGGGTCAGGGGAGGCAGGTGGTGGAAAGAGGCAGGTGGTGTCAGGGGAGGCAGGTGGGGTCAGGGGAGGCAGGCGGTGTCAGGGGAGGCAGGTGGGGTCAGGGGAGGCAGGTGGGGTCAGGGGAGGCAGGTGGGGTCAGGGGAGGCAGGTGGGGTCAGGGGAGGCAGGTGGGGTCAGGGGAGGCAGGTGGGGTCAGGGGAGGCAGGTGGGGTCAGGGGAGGCAGGTGGGGTCAGGGTAGGCAGGTGGGTTCAGGGTAGGCAGGTGGGGTCAGGGGAGGCAGGTGGGGTCAGGGGACGCAGGCGGTGTCAGGGGAGGCAGGTGGTGGAAAGAGGCAGGTGGGGTCAGTGATGGAAGGTGTTGTCAGGGGAGGTGGAAGTGGAGAGAGAAGGGTGGTGACCACGCATGGCTGCCAAACCTCTCATTCATACTCTATTATAAATCTCAATCTTAGCTGTAAAATATATATGCCAAAATATGTTAATTTTCGTGTATTACTATACATTATTAATCATTAACATGTTTTATTGTTTCCTGAAGAAAACAATAGCTGACTTGGCATTGTGGTGTGTATGGCCGGGTACCTGGGGGGTGGGGGGGGGTCCTGGAGGTGTGAGAGGAGACCTGTCAACCCATCATTTTTTTTGTCAGGCGAGTTGAGACGCTTCCAAGCCTGCTGCTTCAATACACGGTGTGGGTGGTGTGGTATGGTTTGGGTGGTGTGGTGTGGTTTGGGTGTGGGTGGGTTGGTGTGGGTGGTGTGGTGGGTGTGGGGGGATGATGTGGTGGTGTGGGGTGTGTGGGGGATGATGTGGGTGGTGGTGTGGGGTGTGTGGGTGGTGGTGTGGGGAGTGTGGGTGGTGGGGGCGAATGGTGTTAGTGGTGTTGGGGATGGTGTGAGGGTGTGGGGGATGGTGTGGGTGGTGTGGGGGGTGGTGGGTGGTGGGGGGATGGAGTGGGTGGTGTGGGGGATGGTGTGGGTGGTGTGGGGGATGGTGTGGGTGGTGTGGGGGATGGTGTGGGTGGTGTGGGGGATGGTGTGGGTGGTGTGGGGGATGGTGTGGGTGGTGTGGGGGATGGTGTGGGTGGTGTGGGGGATGGTGTGGGTGGTGTGGGGGATGGTGTGGGTGGTGTGGGGGATGGTGTGGGTGGTGTGGGGGATGGTGTGGGGGGGATGGTGTGGTGGTGGTGTGGGGATGGTGTGGGGGATGGTATGGGTGGTGTGTGTGGGGGTATGGGTGGTGTGGATGGGGGTGGTGTGGGTGGTGTGGAGGATGGTGTGGGTGGTGTGGGGGATGGTATGGGTGGTGTGGGGATGGTATGGGTGGTGGGAGGATGGTGTGGGTGGTGTGGAGGATGGTGTGGGTGGTGTGGAGGATGGTGTGGGTGGTGGGAGGATGGTGTGGGTGGTGTGGAGGATGGTGTGGGTGGTGTGGAGGATGGTGTGGGTGGTGTGGAGGATGGTGGGTGGGTGGGGGATGGTGTGGGTGGTGTGGGGGATGGGTGGTGGTGTGGGGGATGGTGTGGGTGGTGTGAGGGATGGTGATTCTCGCATCTCAGATTATTATTGACACCAAAAGAGCATGAAAGATATTATAATGAAGCACCACACAACAAAGAAACAAACTAATGTGTCCTGGCATATGTTAAAAAAATAAAAAAAATAAGAAGGTTGTTGCGGCCGGACGGATGGAACGAATTCCGCACTGGAACGAATCGGCTTCGCCCCATATAGTTCGTTCAAGTGAGGACACACTGTACGCCCTGTCGAGGGGTGGCGCGCGGGGTGAGCGAAAGTGTTAAAAAAAAATAACAATTTAACAATGCTACCTTTTGCTAGATTAATAAAAGTTGTAACAGTCCCTTGCATCTAGCACCATGCCCTATTATAAACACAAGCCCTGTTTCTCAATGATAGATCTCTTAATGCTTTTATAGCAAAATGTCACACTTTGTTGTATTTTTCAAAATTACTCCACACACACACACAGAGGAACTGTATAAAACAGTGTATTATGTTGACCAGACCACACACTAGAAATTGAAGGGACGACGACGTTTCGGTCCGTCCTGGACCATTCTCAAGTCGATTGTCTTCAGCCACGTTATTGTGACTCATCGCCTGCAAGTGTATTATGCCTATTGCATAATGAACATTTGTCTACCACAGAGCTGCTTCATGCCTCATGGGTTATTGGTTGAAGCTTCTACTTTAACTTCAATATCACCACAACCCTACATTATATTATTTACCAATCCACAGCCAATGTCTCAATATGAAGCACACAAAAGTAAAATAATTGTTTACTACAGTCATACATTTGATGTAACAAAAACCTATATATCAACCCTACTTTACAAAAGAATAAAAATTGATGGCAAGTTTATTTTCACTGTTGAGGAATGAACAACACACAACCTACAGGCAGACAACTAATTTACTACCCTCTAAATGAGAATTGCTGAAAGATTCAAATTATGCACAAAACCACTGAGGACTGAATAGATAAAAGAAAACAAAATGCATGAATGTATTAAATGTGTTCAAGATACTGTACTCGGCAATAAGTAAATGATTTCAGTGGTAGGTGAAGTCTTGGTATATTGTTTCCTAAGACAATGTGCCATTTTGTTGACAAAAAAAAAAATGTTGATGGTTATCTATTAAAAGCTTATTTTATGTATTTAAAAATTACTTACTTGCATTTCTGTGGCAAGGGTTTTCTTTAAATCATGCATTTATGAATGAAATTTGGCATGCACATTTAAAGGCATGTACACTAGAGAATGAGGGTGTTTAGCTTCAGTCACACACTTATTCTGGAAAAAAAATTCAAACACACACACACATTATAATATATATATATATATATATATATATATATATATATATATATATATATATATATATATATATATATATATATATTTATATATATATATATATATATATATATATATATATATTATATTTATATATATATATATATATATATATATATATATATATATATATATATATATATATATATATATATATATATATAATTATATATATATATATATATATATATATATTATATATATATATATATATAATATATATATATTACATAATATATATATATTATATATTATATAATATAATTTATATATATATATATATATATATATATATATATATATATATATATTATATAATGAGGAATACTGTGACTAGCTTCAGTCATTAGGTGTCCTGCAGTAATTATGTACATGCCTAACAAGGTGTCTGCATTATTCCTTGTGCTTTCCACTGGCGACAAATGATATTAAGTACTACCCTTAACAGATTTTGAGGATGTGTTGTTGCATGAATAGTGAAAGCTTCCAAGGCTCATCTTAGGCTTAAAACAGATTTTGTAATTCTTAATGAGCCTTGCTGCTTGCATAGATATAGCATCTTAACATCACACATCTTAAGAAAATACTCAAGATAGTCAAGTTAAGAGTGCTGGAGTATCCCTCGGGGTATATATGGCTACCATTCAGGTACCTAGCCACTCGACGTAGGAGTTGAGAAGAGAGATGACACCATTCATGTCCCAAATATATGGGTAGATATCATACAAGAGAGATCGATTCTTCACTTTGTTTAGCCTGTTTGCCATTCTTTTCACATTTTTTGCCAGTTCATCAAATTTCGCTGCTCTGACAAACCATTCTTGCACCTGAAAAAAAATTACATAAAAATAAGTAATGGTAATTACATGTCTGGCATTATTTAATGCTAATCATAAAGGAATACCAAGTGCTGAAAAATGTATAAATTCATATAAATGTTAAACATAAGACTGAGTTGTACATTATATTATCACACTAAACAGGTAAATATTCAACAGATCAATGAGTAGATAAAAATCTTTAAGGCAATGAGATTTTCTTGGGTCAATATGAAGGTAAATATTTAGTTTTCCTCAATTTAATATCTATTAGTACTAAAAGTAATTATCAAAAGAAGGCACCAAACCAGGAAGGCTATGTAACACCATCAAATGTGCAGAATAATCAGAGCGCGTTAAATATCACCAAGGATGCCAATACGAGAACACAAGCGCATGAGGTGAACGATATCAAAAGATTCCGATTCACCAAGAATTCTATCGGGGGACAAGCGACTGCAGAGGACGGTTGGAATACAAGACACGCTCGTCCCGGAAGTCAGGACATTCAACAAGGATATGCACAACCGTAAGAGGGAGACTGCAATTTTCACATAAGGAGCAGGGCGACACTCCATTAAGTGATAACGAGTTAAGCGAGTATGGCCAATGCTCAACTCGCCAGAGCTGTTTCCCGTCGCCGGTTACAGTGGTAGGAGGACAGCCACGAGGAAACACAACATTTAAGAGTACGCAGTTTGTTATCAGTAACAGAAGACCAACAAGCCTGCCAATGGGTAAGGATAGAGGAATGAATAACTGGGTAAAAGTTGGAATAAGGAATACCTTTATGGGAGATGGGACAAGAGCAGACAGCTTCCCAAGTGGCAGCATCCGAACGCTCATTTAAAGACACACCAATGTGAATCCAGCAAGTGCAGTCATCGGGAGGACAAACCCTTCATGCAAACTGCACCTACGATCAAGAAGAAGAACCCAGCAAAACTCAACTATTTAAATTTATTGTGAATAAGTAAGAAATTATCAAAAGAAGTCACCAAACCGGAAAGGCTATGTAGCACCTTCAAATGCGCAGGATAATCAGAGGGCGCTAAATATCACCAAGGATGCCAATACGAGAACAAAAACGCATAAGGCGAACGATATCAAAAGTATCCGAGTCACCAAGAATTCTATTGAGGGACAAGTGACCGCGAGGGGCGGTCGGAAAGCAAGACACACGCTCGTCCTGGAAGTCAGGACATTCAAGAAGGACATGCACAACCGTAAGAGGGACAATGCAACTTGGACAATAAGGAGCTGGGCGGCGCTCCATCAAGTGACCATGGGTTAAGCGAGTATGGCCAATACGCAACCTCGCCAGAGCTGTTTCCCATCGCCGGTTACGGTGGTAGGAGGACGGCCACGAGGAAACACAACATTTAAGAGTACGTAGCTTGTTACCAGTAACAGATGACCAAGAAGCCTGCCAACGGGTAAGGACGGAGGAATGGATAACCGGGAAAAAGTCGGAATATGGAATACCTTTACGAGAGACGGGACAAGAGCGGACAGCTTCCTTGGCGGCAGCATCCGCACGCTCATTTAAAGACACCAATATGGCTGGGAACCCAACAAAACTCAACCGACTTAAATTTACTGTGAACAAGAAACAGCCCATGCTGGATCTCAACAACTACTGGATGAACCGGATTAAAGGACCCGAGAGCCATGAGGGCACTATGAGAGTCAACAACTACAAAAGAAGACTGACAATGAGAAAGCAGGAGACGAAGAGCATAGAGAATAGCATAAAGCTCCGCCGTAAACATGCTAGTCTCCGAAGGTAAGCGACACATATAAGTGCTGTCAGTATTAGTACTAAAAATAACTGCCCTTTCCAGTAGTTCAATGAAAAAAAGGGTCAAGTAACTCAATATCAGGTAATAGGTGTTCCAGTACAGAATACCATTATGAATACAACCAATAAGAATTTGACATCCAAACCACACATCATATCTTGATCACATTATTTTGACTCATTGTCTGCAATTAAGAGGCATTAGGTTGGTGTTGGAAAAGTTGTTCAATGTCAACCAATATTATTTGACTAGTTGTATATGAAAAGTGCTGAAATTGTCCCAAGTTTCAGTACTGCAGCATAACTAGAAAGGGAGATTTTTTTTTTGTTTTTTTTTTTTTTCAACTTTTTTACACATTTTCAAGTCTACACTTCAAAACACACGTTTCAGATATAATTATTCTGTGACACTTTTCTGACACATTAGCATATAATAAAGGATTGTGTTTTAGAATTTCCAAAACATCTTTAGTTTTCCTAATACATATGTTCAAAGTTCCCCCAAAAAATTATGCAAATATGGCATGTTTATTGCTATTATAAAATCAATAAATGAACTAAGAGAAAAATGAAAACACGCAAATGTAGAGACATGCCCTCCACATATACTGTGTAAGTCATGTAAATTGAATAAAAAATGAATCAGTTTTGTAAACGTTTGTGTCAATTGAAAAAAAAACAAATGAATAAAGTCTAAGGTTCTAAAATCTGTGGCTGGGGTTGACATCAACCAATTTTCTCCAAAATTGGCATCCTTACAGATAGGCTTACGTACAGTCAGGTGTGTAAGTTTGATGCAAATCGCCCAAAAAAAAAGGGGGGAAAAAAAAAAATCCAATTAAACTAATTATAATATTTGTTTAATATATGCTATTGTGATAGCAAAGTCATAGCTATGATTTCAGTTGACACTTTTGATTGATAATCAATTTTGACCATTTTGGCATAATTTTCACAACTACAATATTTTTTTCTCCCTTCCTATTTATGCTATGCTGAAACTTGGACCAGATGAAACACTTTTCATATAGAACTTGTCAAAAAAGTTTGATTGAAATCGAACGAGTTTTCATTTTTGCATTTTTGGACCCAAGTAAGTAAGTAATTATCAAAAGAAGGCACCAAACCGGGAAGGCTATGTAGCACCATCAAATACGCAAAATAATCAGAGGGCGCTAAATATCACCAAGGATGCCAATACGAGAACAAAAACGCATAAGGCGAACGATATCAAAAGTATCCGAGTCACCAAGAATTCTATCGAGGGACAGGTGACCGCGAGGGGCGGTCGGAAAGCAAGACACACGCTCGTCCTGGAAGTCAGGACATTCAAGAAGGACATGCACGACCGTAAGAGGGACAATGCAACTAGGACAATAAGGAGCAGGGCGGCGCTCCATCAAGTGACCATGGGTTAAGCGAGTATGGCCAATACGCAACCTCGCCAGAGCTGTTTCCCACCGCCGGTTACGGTGGAAGGAGGACGGCCACGAGGAAACAACATTTAAGAGTACGTAGCTTGTTACCAGTAACAGACAACCAAGAAGCCTGCCAACGGGTAAGGACTGAGGAATGGATAACCGGGTAAAAGTCGGAATACGGAATGCCTTTACGAGAGATGGGACAAGAGCGGACAGCTTCCTTAGCGGCAGCATCCGCACGCTCATTTAAAGACACACCAATATGGCTGGGAACCCAACAAAACTCAACCGACTTAAATTTACTGTGAACGAGAAACAGCCAATGCTGGATCTCGACAACTACTGGATGAACCGGATTAAAGGACCCGAGAGCCATGAGGGCACTACGAGAGTCAACAACAACCACAAAGGAAGACTGACAACGAGAAAGCAGGAGACGAAGAGCATAGAGAATAGCATAAAGTTCCGCTGTAAAGATGCTAGTCTCCGGAGGCAAGCGACACATATAAGTGCAATCAGGAAACACAACAGAGTAGCCAACACCGTCCGCTGACTTAGACCCATCGGTGAAGACAGAAACGGAGCGGGAGTGAGAAGAAAAGTGCTCGAGGAAAAGGCGTTTTAGAACCGTAGGAGGGGTAAAAGCTTTAGTGATACGGGTCAAGGAAGTACAAAACCGCGGAAGAGGGACCCTCCACGGGGGCAAAGAAGGAACAACACGAGGAGAAACATCAGAAATACGAACGGAGAGAGAATCCTGTAGGCGAGATAACCGGACAGAAAGAGGGAGGTGGTGAAGAGGAACAGGAACCGCAGGAGGGGTAAAAGTTAAAGCACGACAGAGGCGAGAGGAAGGATGTTGCAAGGACCGCGCAAGATAGCGAAGACAGTAGCGATCACGGCGGTCCTGGAGAGACAGGAAGCCAGTGTCAACATACAAGCTAAGGATGGGAGTCGAACGAAAGGCACCAGAACTGAGGCGCAACCCAGTATGGTGCAAAGCATCAAGACGGCGAAGAGTAGAAGGAGAAGCAGACGAGTAAGCAGGGCAACCATAATCGAGCTTAGACAGGACGAGAGAGGAATGTAAAGCAAGGAGAGTGCGCCTATCTGCCCCCCAAGAAGTATGGGACAAGACCCGAAGGAGGGTAAGGGCCTTAGAGCACTCAACACGGAGGTAAGAGATATGGGGAGACCAAGACAAACGAGTGTCAAGGAATAACCCCAAAAGCTTCGCGGAATCTTTGTATTCAAGGGGATGACCATAAAGTAACAAAGAGGGACGAAGAACAACCCGTTTCCGCGTAAAAGTCATGGCACAAGTCTTAGAAGTAGAGAACTTGAAGCCATGACCTGTGGCCCAAGACGACACGGCATCAATTGCAAGTTGAAGCCGGCGTTGAAGGAGAGGCGAATCATCACCCTGACAACAAAGGGTAAGATCATCGACATAGAGAGCGGAGAAGACACCAGAAGGAAGAGAGGAAAGAAGACCATTGAGGGCAACAAGAAAAAGAGTAGTGCTCAGAACACTACCCTGGGGCACACCTTCGTATTGCTGAAAAGAGGGAGAGAGAGCGGTACCAAGGCGCACCCGAAAGGAACGACGAGAGAGGAAGCTGCGGAGAAAGAGAGGGAGATGACCACGAAGGCCAAAAGAATGAAGTTGAGATAGGATATGATAACGCCAAGTGGTGTCGTAAGCCTTTTCTAGGTCAAAAAGGACGGCAACAACGGAGGTCTTCGCAGCAAAAGCAGTACGAATATAGACCTCCAAGTTCACCAGG